TATCGTGATGCAAATCGCAACGGCGTGATCTAACCCTGCTGCTTTCTGCATATTTTATCACAGTGATGACTGTGATGGCTTACTAGACAAATGTTTTTTTTAATTTGAATCCTTGTAAAGAAGCTTACAAATAAACAACACTTTATATCTGTAATTCAGTCCCTCTGTATATTGCATATGTTTCTTTTTAGCCTCCTTTCCGAGTGCGCCAAATCGCAGTGCAGAGAGCCGACGAAGTCAGCGCCGACATGACAAAATTGCAAGAAAATAATATATTCACGGGACTGAATACGATACGCCAATCGATGAAAACCAAATAGCAATCGATAACAATCGATGAGACCACGAACATTTTCATGTGATTATCGATTGGTCATCGATTGGCCAATACCAATCGATATCAATTCACTAATTGTTATCGATTGATCGATCAGGATTTCCGATGATCGATTTCCATCGATTGTTCAGGCCGGGGTACAAGTGGTTATACAATGATTCATTTGTAACTCATACACTAACCAGACCAATAGTTAGTTCAATAGGGAACTTCGGGTCTATAAAATGAATCTCAGATATTTCTCGAGTGGGGAGAGAATTAGTCTGCGTGGCAGGCGTATAAAGAGGAGGGGATCGCGCTTCACCCTCCGATTCCTCGCGCTCGCAGGCTCCCTCCCCTTTCTACGGCCACGCAGGCTAGGAAAGAATCGAGCAAGTAAAGAGAGAGGTCTCTTTACTCAGGCTAAACAAGAGATCGAACCGGTTGAAACATCCAAGATTCATTTGTAATTCATATATACTAACCACACTAACCAGTTACAAGGCATTAATTATTACCAAGCTAAGTATTAATCCAACATAAACAAAACCAAACTGATAAATATAACGATAGTAACATTAGTTCAATAATAGTTTCATATAAACGGTTAACCTATATAAGCGGTTACCTACTAATTCTTGAATTACGGGTGGCCACTTTAAAAAAGATGACACTATTTTTATTCAACAAAAACCACCTTTGTTAGTTTAGGAATAAACACTAAATGAGGCACTTCGTATTTGAGCGGTTTTCAATCGAGTGTCGTGAAACCAAAACCAAAGCAATTACAATGGCCAATCACAACAAATGAAAACAACACAATGAACCAATGAGAACTCAAAGCAAAGACACGTAACCGGCTCCAAAGCGCGGGAAAACGCGTGTGACCAAGTCGCGATTGGTTTTGCATCTGATTGTTTAAGAAAGTGGCGCGAGTTTTCTAAACCAATCATAGCACGTAGTAAAGCAAAACCAAAGCAATTCAGAGATTACTTTTGACAGTCAATTGAAAACCACTCTATCTACAAGGGATCGAACGGGTTGAAACATTCAAGATTCATTTCTGACTCCACACTAACCACACTAACAAGTTACAAGGCATTTATTATTACCAAGCTAAGTATTAATCCAACATAAACAAAACCAAACTGATAAATATAACGATAGTAACAATACTAGTTTTATATAAACGGCTAACCTATATAAGCGGTCACCTACTAATAGACCTTTTCTCCAAAATGGCCGCCGCAAATTCAAAATTATTAAAATTAAAATGAGCGGAAAATCAATACCCTCTTGTTTGGTTATCGTACAAATCTTCATTAGGTTAGGTTCTACCTGAGTTGAGAAAACGGAAGTTGAAAAACTGGAAAATTTAGAGACGTTGTATGACTGGGGGTATACGCCATACAAAAAGAGGTGGTCTTTCAGGTGTTGGTATTGATTTTCCGCTCAGTTTAATATGAATTTGCGGCGGCCATTTTGGAGAAAGGTCTATTCTTGAATTACGGGTGGTCACTTTAAAAAAGATGACACTATATTTTTTATTCAACAAAAACCATCTTGTTAGTTTAGGATAAAACACTAAATGAGGCACTTTGTATTATCTACATCTGATTTAACCAAAACTACTATTGAAATGGAACCAAACTAGTACTGAAACAGAACGTTAGTGAAGTGCATGTTTTTGACGACACTTTCACTGTATGAAATGTCGCCATAAGAAATAGCAACTCAAAATTAATTATGCCGACTTTATAAATGACTAATAGAACAAAACTCTAAGTAAAAGCTTGATTCAGCACAGTCGATCCGGACTGGGTGATCAATACAAATAGAACATTTCGTTAATCCTTCGTTCTTATAGTGAATTCACAAGAAACTTCAGTCCCTTTCTTCACATTACCACTATCGCAGTATTGGCTAAAACAATATCTTTACAGATGACCTCCATATACAGTTCGCTCGCGGTTCAGGCAGCAGTGTTAGTCAATATTGTGTTTAACCTGCAAGACGATAACATGAGAATTTCGACTTTTTTTCTTCCGCTAATATGACTGTTAAGATTAACTCTTTAAATACCGACTCGTTTAAACCTGTCCGAATTATGTAGTAGAGTAACCAACACAGACTCTAACCTGCCTCTCTCTCTCTTCCCGCTCTCGTTCTCCGCGAAAAGAACGAAAAGTAAAAGACGCCTGATCGCAGGTTACACAGACTCTAGAAAACGATTCCAACAAAAGCAAGGGTGAGCGTTATAGCTTAGAATGAAGTTTACTTGAGCGTTGCTCTTATCTCATATGATCAGCGTAATGTTTGAAGGATACTTTCCACGCTACTACATTCCTCCTGGCAGATCCAACAGGTGAGGCTTTCAACTTGGCTTACATTTTGCTCCGTCAAAGAAAACGCCATATCAGACTTTCCGCCGGTGCGAGTTGTTGTTTGCTCCTGAAGGTGTCTTGTTGATTTGAGGCACTTATCGTACTGCTTGCTTTTTAAAGGCTGATCTCTGGCGTGTCTTTCTTCATGTATTTTGCAAGCTGATGAATGTCTAAAGCACTTTTTACAATGATTGCATGCATACGGCTTCACTCCAGTGTGAATTCGCTCATGTATCTTGCAATCTGATGAATTGCTAAAACACTTATTACAATGCTTGCATGCATAAGGCTTCACTCCAGTGTGGGTTCGCTCATGTATCTTGCAAGCTGATGAATCCTAAAGCATTTGTTACAATGGCTTGCATGCATAAGGCTTCACTCCAGTGTGGGTTCGCTCATGTCTCTTGCAAGCTGATGAAACGCTAAAGCACTTGTTACATTGCTTGCATGCATAAGGCTTCACTCCAGTGTGCGTACGTTCATGTCTCTTGCAATCTGATGACTGGCTAAAGCACTTGTTACAATGCTTGCATGCATAAGGCTTCATTCCAGTGTGTGTTCGTTCATGTGTCTTGCAATTTGATGACTGGCTAAAGCACTTGTTTACAATGCTTGCATGCATAAGGCTTCACTCCAGTGTGTGTTCGTTCATGTGTCTTGCAAGCTGATGAATAGCTAAAGCACTTGTTACAATGCTTGCATGCATAAGGCTTCACTCCCGTGTGCGTTCGTTCATGTGTATTGCAATTTGATGACTGGCTAAAGCACTTGTTACAATGCTTGCATGCATAAGGCTTCACTCCAGTGTGTGTTCGTTCATGTGTCTTGCAAGCTGATGAATAGCTAAAGCACTTGTTACAATGCTTGCATGCATAAGGCTTCACTCCCGTGTGCGTTCGTTCATGTGTATTGCAATCTGATGACTGGCTAAAGCACTTGTTACAATGCTTGCATGCATAAGGCTTCACTCCAGTGTGTGTTTCGTTCATGTGTCTTGCAAGCTGATGAATAGCTAAAGTACTTGTTTACCATGCTTGCATGCATAAGGCTTCATTCCAGTGTGTATTCGTTCATGTCTCTTGCATGTTGATGAATCACTAAAGCACTTGTTACAATGCTTACATGCATACGGTTTCACTCCAGTGTGTGTTCGTTCATGTTGCTTACAAGCTGATAACTGGCCAAAGAACTTGCCACAATACTTGCATTCATATTGCCATCTCTCCTATATGGTTTAACTGAAATGAGTTTCGAAGAAACTATTTTTCTTCCTCCAGTCACCTGCGCGGTGCTCTTTGATACCCTCACGTGCGATCTTGTCATTAATAGTTCAGTGAATTTTTGCTATGGAGGTAAATGTCTTTGCCCTATCCCTAAGGAAATGACAAAGAAAAATTCACTATTAGGTTTGGTTTTAGTATTTTGAGTGCAGGTACATGTATTAACCGTGTCATTTCACACTTTTTTCACACTTGTCAGATGATGTCCTCTGTGGCAGGCTTCCTTTGGCGATGCCGTAAACCCTAATAAATATATTTTTTATGGAGGGTGCAGGGGAAGAGGGGGGGGGGGGGAGAAATAGTAGTCCCTGACAGAAATTTCCGCATTAGTTATCAAACAATGTCATTGTTAGTGGAGAAATGCATGTGAACGTTTGGGTTACTATTCCAGGCTTCATATGTAACCCCAAAGTCTGCTATCTTCTGTTATCAAATTGTGGTGTTTAAAACAAGAAAAACATCTTAAGTTTTAATAATATTACTTTAAATACAATCTCAAATGAATCGTACTTCCTCAAGAAAAATTGAGTACTCCCTTCCAAACACAAACAAAATGAGTATCGGTTACAGTTGCATTATTACATCTCTCTTACAATTCGTGACTGGGGCCATTCTTATATTATCTCCTACATCAGAACTAAGCATTTAAAACTGGTTTTTATAACTGATATATATATTTCAACGTGCATTCTAAATTGGTATTAGTAATTTTAAAAATAGAAATCATGGTGGCAAGCAGAATATTGAAATTGAAAACCAAACGTTTGATATTTGAACCATTAGCGGAAATATTCACAGAAACTAGCCAGGTGAAGGTAAAGTCTTCACAAGCCTAGTGGCCAACAACTGCCGGAGCTTATCCCGGTGTCTGTAGCATGAAGCGACTAGGAGTATTGCCACATCCCTGGATGGGATGCTAGTCCATTGCAGGTTAACCCCAGAATGTTGCCGCAGGTACCCATTTATACTCCTGGTGGAAAGAGGCACTGTAAGAGTTAAGTGTCTTGCCCAAGAACACAATGACCCAGACCAGGGCTCAAACCTGGACCGCTCAGTCCGGAGTGCAGCACGCTAACCATTATGTCACCGGATCTCCCACAGAAACCAACGCCATCTGCTTATACATGTAAGCCGATCTGCCAAATGATATTCAGGTTATAAGCCTTGGGAATAAGGTGCCCCATTTATAGCCCAACCTGAAACCCCTTACAAAGTTTATATTACCAGGATTATATAATCGATATATAATACCTTAAATAAATTGCAAAGCCAGTAGCTACACCATCTCACAACAATAAATTGTTCGTTAGAGTTTTGGCAAAATTATTGTGCTTGTGACATGTTACAAATTCTCAAATTTGCTTGTTTCTTGTCCGATAAACTAATTTGGTAAGTTAATATCACTGTACATTGAGGAGGTTAAAAAGTTTGTGGATTTGCTGCCAATGTACATTGCAAAAACAGGTATTGAACCTCTGTCTAGTCCCAGTCCTGAGTAAATCTGAGTTCAGCCATAAACCATGCGAGGGCTAATTAGGTGATTAAACGTATGTAACAAATATCTCAGAGAAGCTTAAAAGTTGTGGGATTTGCTGCCAATGTAGACCAATATGCTATGTGATCTGTACATTGTTAAAACTGTCTAGTCCCTGTCCTTTGTAAATCTCAGTTGAGCCATAAACAATATGACAGCCGACAAGGTAATGTCACAATATTTCAGAAAGAGAATGGCATAAAAACATGTAATTTACCTGCATGACAAGAATAGGGGAGGGAGAAGGGGAGCTGCACTGTAATTGATGACATGTTTACTCTAATTTAGCTAGGGGTGTTGCTAGTCTATAAACTTGTAGGCCCAAGGCTACAAATTGTACAGTATTATTAATTAATATTAGGTTTTAAAATGAAAACTGATTAGCTAGTTCTATTTAAATAAGACATTATTATTATTAGCTATTGATACATGTAAATGTAGCAGTTGATTACAGATTGGTGTGCTGGTGTGTGCGCCAAATGTAGATCACAGACTTTGGGACGTTTAATAAATAATCAGTTGCAACATTTTACATTTTATACACACTGATTTAAATCTTGTGAAATATAAATAATCACAGCTGACGAATACTTTTTTGTGTTCACCGACTTCAGCTTGGTTTGAGTTTTAACGTAAAGTGCTTTCCGTGAAAATATTAATAGAAGTATTAAAATTCCCTTCAACCAGCTCTCATATTAAATAAACAAGATCTCTTTGCACCATCCAGTGTACAACATAAATCTTTATTGTCTTTCACAATGACAGAAAAAAACTTCTTAACAAAATAAACACAGCTACAAAAAGACGGGGTTGGAAGTAACTGAGTATGGTGTATCTTAATTATTATAAATAAAAGAGGCGAGACATTCGGTCATGTTCTACTTATCATTCAACAAACATTCCGCCACGCACTCAACAAGCATTCCACCACACATTCAACAAGTCTTGTTTTACAATAGCATTATTATCTTGTCCTAAAGTGATCTGATGTTAACTGATGACCTGCTAAAGACCGGCAAACATCTCCGATCTCGTATTGCTAAATACTGTATAAACCATATTTAACGACAACAATCATGCAACTACACCCTGTTTAGGACAGGTTCAGACCCTGTTTAGAACAGACTTGCATAAAATTATATTCCCTGTTCAGGGCAGAGTGTTCAGATTGGGCAAAACACCATACCCTGTCCAGTGCACGTCCCCATATATGCCAAATACGGGAGAATCCCCCCCCCCCCCCCATTCTCCCGGGTCTGCAGGTCTGCTAGTTCTGAAGTCTACAGTCTGCATTTGTCGCACACTTATTACAGATTACCCGGCAACACCATTCTAGTTATTCAATGAAAATTAATGTAAATAAGTGGTGGATGTTCTCCAATTTGGCCTAATAGTGTTTCTGAAACACGAACATACTTCCCAGGTTTTGATTACTGCGACTGTTTGTTCCTTACATCCTGGAAAGAAGCGATGATAGAATAATAAAGGGGCCTATGATCCACCATTTACATGTCAATGATACGCAGCAATTAAAGTAGGCATTGTAGCACGCGCTATATTAAACAAAGGCAACTATTCTTATTGAGAGAGATGCAAATAAGTAGCAATGTATTCTATAGCGAAGCTGGATATTAAAAAGTCATTCTAACAGATCTTCTTACCTTTATAAAACAGCGACAACGTCTTCGACAACAAATCACATGCACGCCGCCATTACAGCAATTTCAATGGTGCCCAGTCTCTCTCGAGGCCTGGTCTAGAAATCACGTGGTGAGGGGATTTTCCCTTCAAAAGCGTATGGGTGGGATGATTCCCCAGGGATAATTTTCGTCCAAGTAACCCGGTGAAAGGAGGCCGCATTGTAATCAAACAAAACTTCTAAAAAAATGGATAATAATAATAATAAAAGTTTCTTCTAAAACCCATACCCATTTCAGTCCAAAATGGTCGAAAAACTATTTCAGCCCAAAAATCACACCCTTTGGCAACATACCTAATATGGCTTATTTTAGGGAGTACCCAATCTCGTACCCAGAGTCAACGGTCTCCTCGGTCAGCGGGTCGTCGCCAGGTTAGACTCTGGGGGAATGGAATAAATATCGAATTTTTTGATTGGCTGTCTCGTGTAACAAACAATGGCCGTTACACCAGATTTCTGGTATTCAAAATTCCATTCCCCCAGAGTCTAACCTGGCGACAACCCGCTGACCGAGGAGACCGTTGACTCTGGGTACGAGATTGGGGAGTACCTCGCCCCACCTCTCCCCAATCCCTCCCCGGGATATTTCATGAGTAAAAGAAGCAATAAATGTTACAGGGGGAGACCTTATAACTACTAGGCCAATTCAGTCTAAACATCATTTCTTCGGCTCCCTAACATCTACCGATATGCTTTTTTGCCATGTCTTTTTCACTGCCATATTTGGTAAGTCACGTGACAGGAACAGAAAAAGCCTAAAAATTCGAACAGCTTATATTTTTCGCCAATAAAAGGGATGCAAACATTCTAATACAAAACGTGTAGCATGGATTTGTTGAAATTCAGGTTATAGAAAAAATTAGACATACATACATTTTCTTGAATATATTATATTTTTGTTTTACGTGTAAACGGTAATTTCATGCTAGATATCATGAAAGAAATTAAGCCGCCTCCGATATGCTAAAAAAATTGAATCTTCATGCGCCTTTTTCATTCTAACGCACGGTTAGAGACTGGCACTAGCTACGCACGCGCAATGTCGATTTTGCGAAGTGAAGTACAACCATTTGTCATTCTCGTTCCTAGATCATCCGTTTCTTTTGGTCACGTGATCGGCGAAACGTAAAAAGAAACCCGCGTAGCTCTGGGGACGAGAATGAACCCTTCGTATGGTTAAAAGTGTAGAGACTTCCGAGATACTGATGACGAGGTTCTACAGATATCCATGAAGTCTCTGATTGGTTATTGCTCAGTTCGAAATGAAATGTTTTATATCTTACGGTACCTCAGAAGTCTCCCAAGAAGGGGGGGGGGGGGGGGGGGGGGGGGGGGGGGGGGGATTGAGCGAGTAAATAGAGACGTCTGTTTATTCGACAGATTTAAAAGGTTGAAACCAGGGGGGGCTAGCAGCGAGGCCTGGGACCTAGTATATATGATTGCACATTTTAGAAATTTGGCCGAGCGAGACTAAGTACTGGTTTGTTTAAAATAAACATGGCCGACGATGGCTGACATGACGTGCGTTTGTGGTCTTTGTGTTCGTTCGGAAATATTTTGGCGATTCCACGTCCAAACATCTATGGGAACGATTCGGTCGCTGTTTAACTGAACTTTGGTCATTGTGGGACACCATGGATGAAAATTCCACAGCAAACTCCCGTAGAGGTACGTTTCTCGAATGATTGACAGATTTCTTTACTTGTGCGATCATGTATTGCGGAAAAGCGGCAAGATCAAAGGGCGCTGCCTGCCCCCCCTGTTGAAACATCCAATGATTCATTTGTAACTCATACACTAACCAGACCAAGAGTTACTTCAGATATTTCTCGAGTGGGGAGAGAATTCAGCACGTCAAGAGAGAGAGAGAGAGAGAGAGAGAGAGAGAGAGGTCTCTTTACTCAGGCTAAACAAGGGATCGAACGGGTTGAAACATTCAAGATTCATTTGTAATTCATATATTAACAACACTAACCAGTTGCAAGGCATTTATTATTACCAAGCTAAGTATTAATCCAACATAAACAAAACCAAACTGATAAATATAACGATAGAACAATAAGTACAATATTATTAACCGGGCGTGGGCCTGGGGCCCAGCCCGGTTAATAAAATAGCTTCTGTTTTTTTTTGTCGTCGATCTCTTATACCTCTACTCCGCCAAAGTGCTAGGAGGAGAGCTAGGGGTGAGTATGAATATATATGAATGTATTCGCCTTGTGAAAGATTTTCTCGGGGAAGAACGAAGCCCGGACTCGAGAGAGCGGCGGAAATCGAGCCTATGTGAAAGTTGGACTGGTCCAAATAGATATTAATTTAGGGACGCGTAAACACATCGGAGCGGCGTACAGATTTCGCAACGTCGGTGAGTTTTGACTCGTCAAAATATTAAATCATTGTACTCACTACTAGGTGGACACACTAGGAGCGCCATTAGATCAATTTTTTTTATCAAGGCTACGTTACATTTCGCCAGGGTCATAATATTGTCCTGTTTGTTTTGTGTGAAATACATTTCTTTTCCGTAAAGGAAAACAGAAACTTGCCCAGACTCGCAGATTTATGTAAACAGAAACTTGCTGAGACGTGCAGATTTATATTTGGACGATTACGTCATAGGGTCACGTCAAATCGTGACTTGAAGAGATTGTCTGTGAGGTGCGTACGTACATCACATACACTAGAAGCGCCATTAGATCAAATTTTTTATCAAGGCTACGTTACATTTCGCCAGGGTCATAATATTGTCCTGTTTGTTTTGTGTGAAATACATTTCTTTCCGAAAAAGAAAACAGAAACTTGCCCAGACTCGCAGATTTATGTAAACAGAAACTTGCTGAGACGTGCAGATTTATATTTG